CAGGAATGTCGGCTATTCTATTTATGTATACTCTTATATGTATTTATATATATATATTGTAAATAAGCATTTAGAGTATATCAAGGAAAAATATTTAATTAGCATATTTTTAGAACTCCTGGAAAAGCTTAGCGTTTGTATATCAGTGAACAATCATCTGAGAAAAGGTTAAATGCTTTATTAAAAAAATATTATGTATTACTTAGATTTTGTGGGTTTTCAAGCAGTTGAACCACGGTTCAATGATCATTAGAGCATTTTAGCAGCTCACTTAAAATATAATGTCTATTGAGGCATTTGAAGTATGTAAGTAAGTTAGTTAGCACCGTTCTCGTAGAACATTCTAACATTAGGAAGGAGATCTCAGATCAGTTAGTATATCTGACTCTTTCGATGATTAAAATTAAAGTGACTAGAGTTTAATGTGATGATATTCTAGGAGACAGTACTACATGAGCGTCTAGCCACGATGGCCTAGGGGGATAATGCTCGAAACTTCTACGAAAAGATCCGGCGACTAGCAGAAGGTTTCATGACCGCAGCATTTTCTTGTAGAATCCACAGAGGTGATCTAGTGACTGATGCTTAGGGTACACTAAATTATGGTGGGAGCACATCTCCAGCCTCCTAAATGTCAGTGAAAACATAACACCCGCAGATGGCGAACCCGATTCCCCGGACGAAAGCATGCCCAATGATTGGAATTTAAGTGTGCTCTGCCAAATCCACAAAAAGGGATACCCCACAATCTATAAGGTTTTATCGAGCGTATTATGTGGAAGATTTAAGCCCACCGTCAACAAATTGAATGGACCTTATCAGTGTGGCTTTAGAATTGGCAAATCTTATAAAAGGCTCGTGAAAAGAAAATCGATACACACCAACTCTTAGTCGATTTCAAAGCTGCTTTTGACAACACGAAAAAGAGCTGCCTTTATGGCGCTATGTCTGAATTTGGTATCTCTGCAAAAACTACTACGGCTCTGTAAACTGTTGTTGAGCAACATCAAAAGCTCCGTCAAGAGCGGGAAGGACCTCTCTCAGCTTAATCGAGTATTTAAAAATTTTCTATAAGATTGTATAGCTGCTGGCGTATGCCGATTATTGATAACATTAACCTCAACAACCGCGCCGTCATGTCTACATTCTTTCGTAGTGAACGAGGGCAAAACGAAATATCTCCTGCCATCAAACAAATAGACGACACACTCGCGTGTTGCTCCCACGTCACTGGTGACAGTTGCAGCTCGAAGTTATCGAAGTCGTAGATAATTCCGTCTATTTAGGAACCAGTATTAACACCAACAACAATATCAATGCAGAATAACTATTACCAGTAGGTGCTACTTGGACTGAGTAGGGAAACGAAAAGTAAAGTCCTCTCTCGACGAGCTAAAACCGAATTCAATATGTCGTTTATCATTAGTCATTACGGTGCAGCGGCATGGCAGTGACCTCATTTGAAGAGTCGGTCTTAGGATTGTTCGAGAGAAAAGTTTTGCGGAATATAGACCGACGGAACGGTGAGCTGTACGAGTTATACGACGGCGTTGACATATGTATGTAGTTCAGCGAATTAGGAGACAGCACTGAGTGTTGGACGTAGTCTATCTCCATTCCGCTTTTTTGCTCTTTATTCAATGCTTTATAAAAATTGTTACAATGATCGGAGTTAGTTCAAATATGCCGTTTCGTTCGATAATCTGTTTCCATCTAGACGGCGACTTCATAATACCCCCCTCGTAGATGCCCCCCCCCTCCTTATTTGCGAAGAACTGGGACAACCACATTTCACAAGCCTCTTTTGAGTTCAACTTTTCATCAACAAGGACGTTCCCCATGGACAGGAACAGGTGGTAATCACTTAGCGCTATGTCCTGGCTATATGGTGGTTGCGATAAAACCTGCCATCCGAGTTCCTGCAGCTTCTAACGAGTCATCAACGAAGTGTGTAGCCTGGCGTTGACATACATATGTATGTAGTTCAGCGAATTAAGAGACAGCGGCTACGCTGGCTAGGCCATGTCGTGCTTATGGATGAAAACACTCCAGCTCTGAAGGTATTCGAAGCAATAACTGCTGGAGGAAGCAGAGGAAGAGGAAGACCACACTCCGCTGGAAAGATCAAGTGGAAAATGACCTGGCTGCACTTGGGATCTTGGCATTAAAGAAGAAGAAGAAGTATTGTCTTGATGTATTTTATAAAGGTTGTTTATTGAAATCAAAACAACTGGCATAATGAAACGAGTACATCTCTCCCATGTGACATACATATACTCGCTGATATTAAAAGAGAACTTGCTAACTTTGTTGTTAATTAATTTTTGGACAAGAGAGCAGAGCGCAAGCATGACCAACAGGAAAGTGGTGCATCGAAACCGAATATCGCACCAAATATTATATAATTATTACGGGCTTCGCAAAGTCTCTTAAGGTTATAAGTTATAACGATCCGCAAACCTAGCGATCAGAGTTGTATTTGCGTAAACTTATTTTAGTATGCAATCCAAAAACAAATTTTTCAAACTATGACACGTTGTGAGTACCTCATACGATTAATTGAATTAAAAAAAAAAAAAAAAAAAAAAAAAAAAAAAAAAAAAAAAAAAAAAAAAAAAAAAAAAAAAAAAAAAAACACGCTTTAACTTTTTAGTAAACGGTAAATTTAACTGATGTAAACTCTCAATGCAAATATTTTTTTTCCGCATACTACAATAAGCTACTTAATGCAGCAAAGCACTCCCGTTTTCCTTACTCAAATACAGGGTGTGCTGGTGTGTGCAAAGTGTTTGTATTTGTTGTCCCAGTTGGAAAATTAAGTCGCTGTTATAAAAATGTACAGCAAAAACTTCAATGTGTTAATATAACTTCCTTTGTTGTTGCATGTGTGTTAATCAGCAACTCTCTTATGTGAGATTTGTGTGTTTGTGTCACTTGCTTGTGTTGTTGTGTAGCTCACAAAAGCACAACAGCCCATTAAATGACTACTAAGCCTTAGCTTTTAGTGTGTGTTCTTTCTACTTTCTCCACTTTTGTTGTTGTTGTTGTTTGTTCACTTTGCGAAGCTTTTGTTTTAAAAGCGAAAATGCATATTCTTGTTGAAATTGTTCCCATGTGGGACACGCCGTTGATTTGCACTCAATGAACGAAATAGCCGAGTGTGTGAATGGTTGCATTGCAACAGGCATATATACTCGCATACACATATGTATGTAGTAGATGGCAGCTAAATGTACTGTTATATTTATTATAATCTACATTTGGGCAGACGTGTGTGTGTAGTGAGTATATAGAAATACGCGTATACTATTATATATATACTTATGCTTGTAAATACCAAATGAAAAGGTTTCCCATACAAGCACTTCAGTCCGATCCATCAGTTTGTATTAGAACTATATAATATAATTATCCAAACTGAACACTTTGTATGGACATTGAAGCAAAACCGTGAATTATAATATCTGCCAGATTTCGTGAAAATATTTCGCCAAATGGTCAAGCTATTTCTGTGCAGTATTTTTTTGGTATTTCATTATGGAAAGAGTTACGCTTGAAAAATGTTCACAAATCGTTTAATTTGATTACGAAAATTCACGTTCTGTAAAGAATTGGAATACTGAGCGTACTATTCGCAACACCTTCAGCCATCTTGAGACCCAGCATTCATTATTGGATAATATTCGATCGAAAATGTACGTTCAGCAGGGTAGTGAAGAAAATATAGCAGCCGTAGCGGAGAGTGTATACGAAGACCATGGAGAGTCGTTTCGGCGCGTTCACGGCAACTCGGATGGACGCATGGCACGACTTGGCGTATTTTACGTCGGGATATTAAATTTAAACGTTCAAAATACAGCTTGTGCAAGTACAGAAGTTGCTTGACCTTCCCACGTCACATCGCTTTGCTCTATGGGCTTTAGAAAAGTTCCAAGAAGACCCGACGTTCTAGAGCCAAATTTTGTTCAGCGATGAGGACACATTTCTGGTTCAATGGGTATGCAAATAAGCAAAATTACCGCATTTGAGTCGAAAAGCAATCTAAAGAAATTCAAAAGTTGTCATTTCATACAGAAAAAGCGACGGTTTAGTCTGGTTTGTGAGTTGGTGGAATCATCGGTCCATATTTCTTCAAAAATGGTGGCGGTGGGAACTTAAACTTTGTGAGTTGGTGGAATCATCGGTCCATATTTCTCCAAAAATGGTGCCGGTGGGAACTTCAACGTAAATAGCAATCGTTAACGCTCCATAATAACGCACCATTAGATTTTTTCTATGGGGATATGTAAAGTCTAAAGTCTAAATGCGGACAATTCCACTTCGATTCTTACCTTGGAGCAAAATATCACGGATGTTATTCACCCGTTACCAGTGTTACGGATGGACGCAAAGGATGAGATAATCTTCAAAAAATAAATGAAAAAAAGTTCTTTCGAGTGATAATAAACATTTCCATGTGTTTTTTCTTTAAAAAAGTAGGGAACCTTGAATAAATATCCCTTTATATGCGGGAGTAGTACGATATCGATGGTTTTGACAAATGAGAAGCTTCGTGAGAAAAAAAAAAAAAAAACTCGGAGGGACACTTATACTATATACGGATAAACGAACAGCTAATTAATACAAAGCCAAATCGACTCGTCACGCTGATCATTTCTAGATATGTATTTGATAGAATCTCCGACGTTTCCTTTTAGGTGGAATAAGCTTCGTGGCCAATTTACTATACTCGTATCCTGTTCTTCTTTTTTTATTGGCACCAACACTGCTTACGCGATTATAACCGAGATAAGCATCTTCTCCACGGTGTAAAAAATAACCAGGAAATCATGAAAGGATTAAAAAAAAAAAAAAACTAAAATGTTAACACAGACTGGTGATAAATTCTTTCAGCTATTTTTTTTTTATAAATAAGAACTATGCTTTGCCCTGATAATTTTTCTGCTAGTCACTCTTTTTTGAAATATTCTAAATGAAATATCTTTGCTGTTTGTAATTACCTGGTAATGCTGAAGACCTCTTGCTCTAATGATTGTAGAAATCAACTGATTTACATAGACCACATTTTGGTATTAATCTGAAAATAAAATAGGTAATTATGTTTAAAAGTTCAAGTTAAAGTTCTAGCAAAGGTTATTTGCAAGTCTATAAATTAAGCTGCCTTTATTGCAAAGATCGACGGAATTTTGGGCTCCTTTGGACTTTTGTATGTTAAATTTCAGTTTCTCCAACACCAAAAATAAGGGGATATTCTTATTAAAGCAATGATGTTCGTAAAAGCAATTCAGGTCCATTCGTAGGAGACAAAAGCAAACTTTAAGAGCTGAAAATAAAAATTCTAATATTTTTCAATGTTTAGCGCCAGAATTTGACCATGAAAACAGAAACTAAAAACCATTCTTTTTGTTCACCGTTGTTATGTAAAGAGTGTTTCGTTTCAAGGTTCCCAACTTTTTTTAAAGAAAAAACATAAAAACTTCAAATTTAATGGAGAATGTTTATTATGATTCGAAGGAACATTGTTTGGCATTTATTTTTTGAAGATTATCTGTTTCAAATCTTGGCCGCGGCTAACGGCTTCAGTTCTTGCACGCCCTGTATTTTGTATGCGTTCAATTTAAGATCTCGATGCGCAAAGTCATATCATACTTCAGTCTGAGTTCCTGCGAACGGCGCCGAATCGACTCTTCACAATCTTCGTACACTCTCAACTATGGCTTCTGTAGTTTCTTCACTGAGTGCTGGACGTAGTCTATCTCCATTCCGCTTTGTTGCTCTTTATTCAATACTTTATAAATATTGTTACAATGATCGGATTTAGTTCAAATATGCTGTTTCATTCGACGATATCTTTCCATCTAGACGGCAACTTCATAATACCCCGCTCGTAGAAGCCCCCCTCTTTATTTGCGAAGAACTGGGACAGCCACTTTTCACAAGCCTCTTTTGAGTTCAAGTTTTCACCAACAAAGGCGTTCGCCATGGACAGGAACAGGTGGTAATTATTTAGCGTTACGTCCGGGCTATATTGTGGTTGCGATAATACCTGCCATCCGAGTTCCTGTAGCTTCTAACGAGTCATCAACGAAGTGTGTGGTCTGGCGTTGTGCTGACGGAACACTACACCCAAGCAGTCCAGTTGTTCGCAGTAGATGGTAGAATTAAGCGTCTGGCCATATGCGAGCAGCTCATAGTGGTTGATTCCCTTCAAATTCCACCAAACACATAGCAATAACTTCCTGGCCGTCAATGCCGGCTTGGCCACTGTTTGGGATGTTTCACCGGCCTTTGATCACGACCATTTTTGCTTGATATTGTCGTATGTGATAAATTTTTCGTAGCCAGTTACCATCCGCTTCAAAAATGGGTTGAGTTCGTTCCGTTTCAGCAGCATATTGCAAGCGTTGATTCGTTCCAGAAGGTTTCAAATCATGCGGCTCCAAAACATCAAGCGTTTTTGTTTATCCAGCCTTCTGCAGATGGTTTAAAATGGTTTGGTGACTAATTTCCAACTTTTAGGTGATGTCACGAGATACCACATACCGGACTAACTCGATGTTTTCCATGATTTGATTTGATTTCATGATTCCTGGTCACAGGTCTTCCGACGGTTAGCGTATCCATGGTGTCGTTTTCACACGCTCTGAATCGTCGTTCCTTTAACGAAGGAATATTTAGAAAAAAGCGCGAATTTCGGCGTTAGTGAACTCCATGTTTACACGTTCCTAACTGTTGAACGCAATATCCAAACTAACCATGCATGGCGTCGTTTTGTAGGTTATGTCAAGACAAGATACGATCTCTGCAGCTATATAAAGCCGCGAAATTCAAAAGACAAAAAGGTGGAGATATTTGACAACCAAATATTAACCAGTAAAGCATGCTGGGTCTCAAGGTGGGTGATGATGTTGCGAATAGTATGCTCAGTAGGCCGATTACATTGACCAAAAGTTGAGCGAAGCGCGCGAAACACGTTCTTTACAGAACATGAATGTTCGTAATAAAGTTGAACGATTTCTACATCTTGTCATTTCTTGGCGAAATGCTAAAAAATACTAAACAAAAATAAACTGACATTTTGACACGACACACGAGTGATCTGTCAAAAAAGCTATTGAAGAAAGCTCCTCTGCTTGGATCACCCGTTATATTTGACTAACTTTTAACTCATTTAAAGATTACTCTTACCAGTAAGAGTAAATAATAACACCGGATTTATCTTTAACTTTGCTGTTCGTAGCTTTGTTTCATAAGCAGGATTCAATATTGTAACTAACTTAACTTTGCTTAAGGATTTGCTCTAATTCTCTTGTTTTGAAAAGTCTCGCTTTAATTATATGGTGTTTCTTAAACATTTCTTTCTATTATATTTTTTGTTGTATACCCTTATTTATTTAGTTTACTAGACGTAGAGCACAGTCCATCCTGCCGCCCTTCCCATCTGCAGTCGCAGCAGTTTGCTAAGTTCGAGCTTGTTAGTGTCTGTTTGTTCATTTCACTCATTCATTTGTGTTGCCGTCAAGTGACACTTGTGCGTTTATTTTCTACAGCAATGCAATTTTTTCCGTCGCCTCCACTTTTTAAGAGTTTCGCAGTTTCTTGTTTTAACAATTCCTCTCATGGTTCTCGTAGTGCATGCATTGCTCGACTGCGCATTTAAATGATGACTGCTTCGTTTTCTATGTCCTTCTTTATTTGTCTCTGGTGTTGCTGCTGCTGCTCTTTAATTTGGTTGCATATGGCCGATTGTGTGTACGAAAGTATATATAACGGTATAGATGGCCGCATAAAGTGTGGAAAATATATGAGCCAAGCCCCTAATGGGCCAAGTCTTATTACAAAAGCTCTGGCTCCGGGGAACTTTGCGACTGTCACCTGTTCTTTTCAACTTTCTGCACTGCCGGCTACCCTCCCCCCGCCCCCGCAACGTACAGCAATTGCTACCCACTCACTGCTTTCCGCCTATTATTCGCCACCACCGCCTGCCTTAGGCTACGCTGTCGGAAGTGTGAAGCTGAAATTGAGCAACTAAAAGTGCCTACTTTGGCGAACACTTCCCTTTTCTCCCCTTTTCTTATGCTTTGTTCTCTATACGTGAAGGTGGGTGTGTGTGTGTGTTTGTGTGCGCTGCTCGCTCTTCCTCTTCCTCATACTTGCGCGAAAATGCTTATGTTCCTGCTTATGCTTCTGCATTTGTCAGCGGCTCCGCTGCTCTTTGGTCTGCCTGGTGCTGGTCCTGGTCGTCGACTAGCTGCTCATCGTCTTCCTTTTCCTTTTCCGTTTCCGTTGGCTATGTGTCGCTTTAATGCGCTTTTGCACGGCTGGCGGCACTAGTTGTTTGCTTGTTGTTATTGTCATTTTGTTGCCTATTGTTGTTGTTTCTGTTGCTGTTGCTAAATGTGTTGCTGTTGGTCGTGTTATTCAACGTTGCAATTTTAATGCTTCACACGCACAGCAGGACACGCATACCGTTCCACACACATTCACTTCCTTTGTATTGCCATTTACGTATACCCGACAGCTGAGACTCGTGGTGTTTGCTTAAATATTACTGATCCAACGTGAGCCGCAATTGGATTTTTGGATGTAAAGCGGAAAGTGGTTGGCATCGGGTTTGAACAAACGAAGTTTATCGTATGTCGCCGATCAGGGCTTTCTTGTATAAACTAGGGTTTTTTTTGGAGCGAAGATAGTTAAGAAACCACCGAGTATTGGTCCTCACACCACTTTGTCTGGTCTTCACAGAGCTAAAACAAGATTGAAGGTTGCAGCCATGAAGTAAGCTGCGTTCGCTTCTTGTTTGAAGATAAAAGGTTACGAACTCAAACAATGAGGTCATGGTCACACCCCGGTTAACCACTCAATAATTTCATTATCTTTTTGTTTATATAATTCTTCTAGGAGAAGAACCTCTATAAGACTACGGTGTAAGAAAAATACTTAAAAGCTAAGCTCGACCTAGACAAACAAGCAAAAAAAGAAAATGTCGTCAGTACGAGGTTCACGTAAAGGTCCTGAAGTGGTTAGACCAAATATCTCTCAGAGTTATCAATAAGAATAATGCTATGAACTTGGAGTTTAACAAATTACTCAATTAAATGTAATATTATTGACATTTATAGACTCCACTGCAGGATGGAGTCATATGTAGCTCACGTTCTCTGATTGCCATTCACTTGGGAATGACCAGAAACGATCGTTTCACATATGACTCAAGCCGCTCAAGACTTCCGGTCTTAAACCAAGTATTCTCTGGGTAGTCCAAAAACATCCGTTTGAAGCTAGAAGGCGAACCATTTCGCCATTCTCCCAAGGATTGTGTGCTGGGGTACAAAACTCTACCAATGAATAATAGAAAACAGCCACGAAAAGCTGCTTTTGACCACACGAAAAAGAGCTGCCTTTATGCCGCTATGTCTGAAAAGTATCCCGCAAAACTAAGACAGTTGTGTAAACTGATGATGAGCAATACGAAAAACTTCGTCATGAATGAAAATGATCCCTCAGAGCCACTCAATACCAAACGAGGTATCCGACAAGGCGACTTGGTGCGACTTATTCAATCTACTCTTGAAGGAAATAATTCGAGCTGCAGAACTGAATAGAAAAGGTAGCATGTTTTATAAGAGGGTACAACTGCTGGCGTAAGATGATGATATAGATATCATTGGCCTCAACACGCGCTCCGTTAGCTCTGCTTTCTCCATAAAGGATAAGGAGGTGAAGAAAATGGGTCTGTTAACGTACGAGGGCAAGACGAAATCTCTCCTGATAGTCTTATCTGCGAAGTCGTAAATAATTTCGTTCATCTTAGAATCAATATTAATACCAAAAAACCATGTCAGTCTCGAATCCAACCCAAACTGAGTAGACAATTGATAATTAAAGCCCTCTTCCGAAGAAAAGACACCAAACTCACTAAGTCACTCATAATTTCCGTTCTGCCATATGGTGGCGAGGCACGGATGACGACAATATCTGATGAGTCGACGTTACGAGTTTTTGAGAGAAATATTCTGCGAAAGATTTATGGTCATTTGAGCATTAGGCACGGTGAATATCGCAATCGATGGAACG